TCAACTAATATTCCATACAGAAACTCGGAGAAAACTAATGGGAAATCGTGTTGTTACACAACGACTTCTGGAAGCGAACGAGCCATCATACTTGCCGCTACGGATTCGAAATTTAATAATGGAATTGTGTAAGATAAATGATTCAAAAGTTGTAAAATTAACGCTATCTCCTAAGTGTTTGTATTTTTTTTTTATAACGGTGGGGAAATCCATCATGGATACCCCGCCCCCCCCCCCGCTTAGCAGGGGCCGGGGTTATGCCGGACTCCTACCAGCTACTAAATGCGCAACTAAGTTTCCGGGTTTTTTTATCAATAAAAAATGGAAAATTTCAAGGGAAATACAAAAAATGGTTTATTCGAAGTATCGTCCCTTGCTAGCTACATATTTTTGCCATCTCTCTGGCAATATATGAATACCGCGATGATAAAATGATGCGTCTTTGGACCGAAACCATTCATCCAACCAATTTTGCACTTCTTCGAAATTGGCCAAGTGTTGCCCAGCCAAGCCATGCGCCATTGACCGGAACAGGTGATAAAGCCAGGTCTAGCGAATACGGCGGGTGCAGTAGCAGATCCCATTTCAGCGTTTTGATGGTGTCCTGGACGATGGAAGTGCGATGACACGGAGCGTTGTCGTGTTGCAATATCACTCGTTCGTGTCTTGTGTCTCATTCTGGCCGTTTTTCGAGCAATGCATGGTTCAAATTGATCAGTTGTTGTCGGTAGCGATGCCCATTGACAGTTTCGCCCGGCTTCTTTTCAGCAGCTCATAGTACACGATTCCTTTCTGATCTCACCAAACGCAGAGCATTGTCTTCTTTCCGAAGCGATTTGGCAGTGCCGTCGATGTTGATGCTTCGTCAGGTGAATGCCACGATTTTTTGCGTTTGGGATTCTCGAAATATATCCACTTCTCATCGCCAGTAACAATTCGATGCAGGAAACTCTTTCTTTCATGCCGCAAAAGTAAAATTTCGGAAGTGGCTCTTCGATTTTCCATCTGTCTCTCAGTCAACTCATGCGGCACCCATTTTCCTTCCTTTTGAATTTTTCCCAAGGCATGTAAACGTTTGGAAATACCTTGGCGAGTCATGTTTAATGCCTCCGCAAGTTAATCTTCTGTTTGCGTATCATCTTCATCAAATAACGCTTGCAGATCGGCTTGTCCTCCGACTTGTTTTTGGTCTTCCGGAGCGCTCCTTGTTCTCAGTGTCGAAATCGCCACTTCCGAAGCGTTTAAACCAATCTTCATAGGTAGTTTTCGATGGTGCATGTTCGCCGTAAGCCTCCTCAAGCAAACGACGTGCTTCAGCTGCTTTTTTTCAAGTTAAAGCAAAAAAGCAAAGCTTCCGGCAAATGCTATTTATTTGGCACAAAACTCGACATCTTCGAGTTTTGTGCCAAATAAACCACGAGACAGATAGAGAGGTTCTTAACAGTGGAGATATTTTCGTTTGCTTCAACCGTCCGGAACCTCCGATTTGCCTGCCAGTTTGTTCGTGCTCGAAAGTTGCGTTCTATCCGGAATCTTTGCGAGTTCAATTTAGCATTTTCATTCATATTCGAACAGCTCTTAAAGTATCCGCCAATATCCGCACGGTTGAGCCAACGTCGACATATTTTATATTACTGTTACGTTTGATTTTTTATTAATCATGTTTTTGTTGCTTTCCCAATGAACCAACAGTATTAATAGCTGCGGCGGCGGCGGCGGCGGCGGTGGCGGGGGCGGTGCCCGCGGGGGTGGCGGCGCGTATATTAACCCCTTGGGGCGTAATGATAAGTATACTTACCACCTATTTATTCTCCCATTTTCATGAAATATTTCATATTTGAGGGATTCTTGTCGGGTTTTTTGCGTTTTTTAGCTTCTTATATGATATAGGAAAACACATGAAAGGTTGAAAAGTGTTTTGCATAAGTTGTTATTTATTATAAATAAACGAAGTGTGAAAAATACATATTTTTACAAAAAAAATCATTTTCCACGAACTATGAGTGAATTTTTTGCTCAAAATCAAGATTTGGGGGTTTTCTGGGTCGCTAATTACGAATCTGAGGTCCAAATTCCAAAATTAATTTTCCAAGATGGCGGATTCAAGATAGTGGATCGTAGGATTTTTATTAAATTAGCTAAAATTGTACTCTGGTTAGTTTTTGAGCTCGCTGATTACGAATCTGAGGTCCAAATTCTAAAATTCATTTTCCAAGATGGCGGATTCCAGATGGCGGATTATAGAATGTACAAAAAAAATTAGCTAAAATTGTACTCTGGTTAGTTTTTGAGCTCGCTGATTACGAATCTGAGGTCCAAATTCTAAAATTTATTTTCCTAGATGGCGGATGATAAAATTTTTATATTAGCTCAAATTGTACTTTGGTTAGCTTCCAAGGTCACTGGTTACGAATCCGAGGTCCAAATCTCATTGTCATCAAAATTATCGCGATTTTTCATATTTGCGGCCGCCATCTTGAATCCGCCCTCTTGCATTTTGAAAATCAGGTAACGGATTCGTCATCAGCGATTCCAGAAATCACCGTATATAAATTTTCATGCGATTCGGATTTTCTGAAAAATACGTGCCTCAAAGGGTTAACAACGACAAAAACGACGGCGACGACAGCGGCAGTGGCGAAGGTAATAGCGAAAGAGATGGCGGAGGACGGCGACGGCAGAGGCGGTAGCGGCCACGTTGTCAACGACGACGGCGTTGACGACGTCGTTAACGGCGATAACGGCGCGTATATTAACGATAATAAAGACGGCAGTAGCGACGGTGGCGGCGACGGCGGCAACGGCAGTAGAGATAGCGGGGACAGCGGCAGCAGCGGCGGAGGTGGCCACGTTGTCAACGACAGTGGTATCGACGACGTCGTCGTTGACGACGATGCCGTCGGTGATGACGGAGCATATATTAACGACGCACAGTGGGACATTTGTACCAAAAAGTTGGCCAAAATTAGCTTTTGACGAATTTCGGTTTAAAACGTGCTACTAATTATATATATGACCATTATAAAGATTTCGTAAGTTTTACATGAAATAAAGTTTTACATGAAAAAAGTTTTACATGAAATAAAGTGCAAATATATATGTAAAAATATTTTAATAGATAGATAAGATAGATAAGAAAGCATAATATTGCATATCAATAAGTATTCAACTAGACAAACTTCAAATTTCTTCATCCAATGAATGTATTCCATTCTCAAAATCAATATCATTTTCATCTATTGAAATATCTCCTCTTCTTGGTGCGGGGTCAGTGAGAAGAAGCATATCTAATGGTTCCTTAAAAAATGGTTCAGATTTATTTTTTGGTACGGGTCGCATATTTATTAGTAACGGGTCAGAACTTAATAGAAGTCTGTTAATTATGTCCACATTGCAAAAGGAAACAAAAGAAAAGACAAAAGCAAACAAAAGGAAATTTTATGTCCAAATAACCTTTGGACAAAACCTAATTTACGTTTAGGGAACCAAATGTAATTACTAAAACTACATCCGCGGTTTCCCGCGACTAATTCTTTCTGATATTTTATCCGGAGAGATTACTCTTTCATTTCATCCAAGAAATGTAAAAGGGATATACCTTAAAGTATAGCTAAATCCTTCGAGTTTGACATCGAGGACGCAAAAAGATACATTATTGAATGCTATTTTCAATATCGTTATCTATGTGAGCAACAATTCAATTATAACAAATATAGTCTAAAACGTTTCTACATATCTTCCTCGAAATAATCCATAACGAAAAATTTCGCGCTGCTACTTCTAAGAACCTTAAAATTCTGATCGAAGACTGTATGTTATAAAGCGCTGAGAATTGATATGTGCAATACGAATGATGTCCAAATTTCGACTAACCAAACCACTTCATGTTATCGCGGATAAACGAAAGCATAGCGGCTCATTATTCCGCAGATATTCAATTGCCTAGGACGATTTTAAGAAAATTGACTTTTGGCCAGCTTTTCAAGCCAAACATTCCACAGTGCGACGGCAGAGGCGACAAAGGTTGCAGCGTTTGTTGCGGCGGCAGCCACGTCGCCAACGACGACTACGTCGACGATGGCGACGGCAGCATTGGTGACGTGGGCGACGAAGGTGACGAGTAAGTTGATGATGAAGGCAGTAAGGGTAGCGGAGACTGCGGCGCGGGCGGCGGCGGCGTTTAAGTTCATGTTTCGTCATGAACATCTGCGTCTGCCAGCAGTTGGAATGCCCAAACCACAGAACCGTTAATTTCGAACACCGACGAACGCTCGCGGCAGATTAATAAGTCACTTTCTTCTTCAGAAGAAAATGTGTGGGAAAAGTATGCATAACCATGTGAACATGTCATCATCATATGCGATAATTACTCGCGATTTTTTATCACAAGTACTTATGTACATTATTATTTTGGATAATACCTCACTAGTCCCTACAATTTTAAGTGTGAATAATCATGAGCAATCGTTTCATGAATTAATTATTTTAATGATGGAAAAATATATTATGTAACTTGTTTTTCAACTAATTACAATACAATTATACTGGGATTTAAGCAGCAATTTACGGATTATAAAGCTAATCGTCTACTTGCTTCATTCGCATATCATCAAGATAGTAGTGACGACAGTAATTAATCATCGATAGATACGGCAGAGTAATACATACCCTTTCATAAATTTAATTTCCCAAAACAATGTTGCGCTTACAAACATCTTTACGATCGCAGAGCGTGCAATAAATAATGATTTGAAATGTTTGTTTCAACAAATAAAAATACACGATAGAGCTTCTCAATAAATCAATAATGCATAAAATTTTCTCTGTGTAGCCGTTTATTACTAGATTTCAGTAATTCCTTAAAAAACAGAAAGACGTTATCACCACTATAATTATATATTCCCGACGTTTTCATATTCTCCAAGAAAAGCACCGAGAAGATAACGTGAAAAACCTTGTGGAGGTGGCTTCGCGTTATATAATTATACGTTAGTAACACACACGCATCGAGTCGCTGACTATTTAAAGCGTGAGGTAAAAGAATCGATATCCAGTGCATCCTGACAACACTGAACAGCTTCAAAATGGCCGTTTATGCTGTTACCGTAGTGCTCCTATTTTCATTCGTAACAGTCCTCTCAGGGCTGCCACATATTATTTCAGGTAAGTGGTTATTCTGTTCGTAATACAAAACCAGAAAGACACCGTGAAGAAGATATAGTGGAAAGTTATTGCAATAGTATCTCATAAAATTCTCTCTGTACGTGTTACACCTTGTTTTCATGGTAAAAGATATTGCTTTTTTCACCGACTGGTTTAAAAAAAAACAACTTTAGTTCATTGATTCTATTTTGATCTCTTCACCTTAATTATAGAGCTAATAATTTAATCATTATTAAAAATGCGACGTATATGCGTCGATAAAATAAATTATAAATTCCCCAGACAGAAGCTATTCAATTATATGGATAAAGCTTTTACATTGAATTTATACCGCGAACAATTTGTAATTTGCAAAGAGAACTCTAATGGAAATATATTATAAAGTCTAGTAGTTGATTTTTTCCGATTTTCGACAATTTATAATCTTTATTTAAAAGTCAAGTACAAAATTAATGAATGAAATATTCTCCGTTGTTATCGATGCCCTTATGCCATTCATTAGGCAGTTGCCGAAACCCATCATGATAGAAGCTTGGTAGCTTTGAGGTTATAATGTCAAATGAAATCGAAGTCATAATAAAATTTCGTGTATCGCCAACTGACAAAAATGTGTATCAGGGTATGCGTGTTGCATCGACCGAAATAAGTCTGACGAAAATAAAAATCTGATGGAGCCAGTCTGAAGAATACGCTGTGTGTGGGACACCTTCTAGCCCAAGTGTAGTGGTTTTCTTTGCTTCTGGTGGCTTCTGCTATATGCGATTTAGCATTGTCGTGCAGCAGGATAACTTTACGGCTGCCTTGTCCAGTAAATGGCCTTTTTCTCCCAATTGCATCGCTCAAACGTATTGATTGCTCTTGGTAAATCTCTGCTCTAATAGTTTTAAGATCTCATAGTACAGCACATTCTTCTGGTCTCACCAGGTACAGAGAAGAACTTTCTTTCTGAAACGTTCAGATTTTGCTGTCGATGTTATCGGCAGACCAAGATCTACTCATGATTTTTTGAGCTTAGGATTTTCATACATAAACTATTTTGCCTCACTAATTATGATTTTGTACTAGAAATCTTTTTTTTTGTTGCCTGGCGTGCAAGGTAACTCATGTGGTCAATCGGCGGTTTTTGCTGTTAATAGTTAGCTCGTATGACACCCACTTTCCTTCTTTCTGTATCTTTCTCATACGGTGTAATCGATCGCAAATAACTTTCTGGCTTACTCACAGATTTTCCGCAAGTTTTTGTGTTTGTGTCGTATTTTTATTCAGTAAATTTTGCAACTTCTCGCCTTCAAATTTTTGGACTGACCGGTGCATGGTTGGTCGTGAAGATCAAAATCACCATTTCGAAAACGTTCAAGTCAGTTTCGGCACGTGCGATCGGTCGCAGCATTTTCACCATAAGCAGCAGAAATCATTTTGGCTTCAGAAACGTTTTCGTTTAAATAAAATGCGAAGCGTATCGCGTATCGAATATGCTTTATCTTCTAATTCATAGTCATCATGAACATACTGATTATTTGATATGCGTCAAACACCAAATCATACGTCATTTCGAAAAATTAACTGTCAACACCTTAAAACCGCAAAAGAACGGGAGAATATTTCAATTTCAAATTTTATTCTGAACTATGTTCATAACTTCATCGGAAAGAATTAACTACTGGGTTAATAATAATAATAGAATGTGACATTGCAAAATAAACAAAGTAGTTGATACAAATTATCTGAAAAAATGCGGCCGGCCGCTCGTGTGTAAGTAGGACTAATTAAATTAAGTAAAAAGGTCCTTTAGCATTTTTTAAAGAATTATGTAAAATTTTAAATCATTAGCAAAAAGATATTTGTGAATCATGATAATAATTCGAAATTCTACGTGATTATTTAAAAAATGGTAAAAAATTTTTTTTACTTAATTTAACCTACACAAGCGATTTCATTAGACACCTTGTATATAATATTTTTCAGTAAATTAAACTATCGCACTGAATATTTTACGACATCTCATCGCTTTAACATTTTTATGCGGTTGAATACTACAAACAACGTGCATTTATTTACATAACATTAACATTCTCAGAGGGATAACTCAGAGGACACGCAAATTTTTTTTTATTTTTATTTATATTTTCATTATTTGAACAACTCCATCCGTCATAATTTTAAACATCATGCAGAAAAATCTGAGGTAAAACCAAGCAGAAATTTTGAGATCGTTTCACCATGCAATAACGTAAAAGAGATCAAATCTTTCATTGAAAATAACAATGACGTGTCAATTCATGCGTCGAGATAAACTCAACATCGATTAATTTAGAATTGCTACATCGCGTTAGTCGACGTATCTTCTTCATATTTTTTCTCACATAGTAATCGGTTCATTTTTATGGCAATGATAGACAAGAATCACACATTGCCGATCGACTTGCAACCGCAGTCGATAGACGATAAAGAACATCATGCATCAGTGTTCATCCTTAATTTATACACTATAGAAAACAATAATGGCAATGAGTCGGAGGAAATGTTTCAGAACGAAAATATCGAGACCGGACATACTGGTGCAGACTGTATGCACGACCGTAGATAGAAAGATCTTGTCCGTTATATTTTATATAAATTTCTGCACGGCTCTATCTTGTTCAGCGTGAAAATTCTATTGAAAATCATTTCTTCTACTGAAAAGACTTGAAATTGCAAATCTACGACGAACTGAATGTCACGACATGAAACGATATACGAAATATCATATTCTTTATTCATCATATTCCTTCTTAATTCATCTAATTAAAAATATTTAAATAAAAATAAAAATAAAATGAAAATAAAATATTAATAAAAGTAAATATTAACTAATTAAAAATAAAAAATAGGAATATAATAAGTGGCAAGCGTGAGTGGGATAAGGACGAAGGTGATCAAAGAAAAATCATATCTTCGCAGAGCCATTAACCACCACTGAACACCATCTAGCGGTGGAGAACGACAAGAAGGAAAAAGAATACCTACTCATCGGGAAGTTGAAGGACGAAGATTACGAGGTCGACGAGATCAATCATAACGACAAGACGAAAATGCTCAAGTTGAAATCGAATAAAAAAGAGGCGCAGAATATGATGGAAGCGTCTCTGAATACGGTGGGTATTCAAGTGATGGATGTCCTAGTGGCGGAGGTGATCAATGTCCCATTTTTGGTGGCGGTTATTATTTTCTTAGTGGTGGCAAATATAGTAGGTATACGTAGGGTGTGTTTCATTACAGTTTGCATCATGAGGACTAGAAACTCCGATACAGTATCGGAGCTCCTACCTCTGATGATGCAAACTGCAATGTTTGCGAAACATCAGCACAAAGCTGAATTACAACGCGGTATTCATCCGGAAGAAACACACCCTGATTGTATCAATGGCCGCGAAAGTCTAAAAACTGGTAGGTACACGTAGGTTGATACGTGCAGTATTGTGGTATATATGACTTTTACCGAATAAACAATGATCAACGATCAACTTTCTGATCCTTGGTACATTAAACTATGCGAGGCAAAATAGGTGACAAAATTATATAGTGACGTGATTCGTCATCGGTGTGTTCACTGAGAAAAGAAAAAGAAAAAGATAGTCTTCAGGGTTGCCGAGAGATTTTCGATCGAGAGGATAACCCGCTAGCTTCGAGGCATGTCTTCAATTTTCGTGCAGGTTCTTGAGCACGTTTGCGTGTAACTGTAACGTCATGTTAGCAATCGCCTAATAATTGCGTCAGAATATCGCGTGAATTGGTTGGCGAGAGTGAGTTGTTTACTATGTACATTTCTAAGGATAGAGATGCACACCGCGAGATGACCGCGCTAATGTTTTCTCAAGATTTTCCTAATTTCCGTAAAGTGAATCGCGGATGCTTCTTGTGTTTCGAGTAATCTTATATGCAGACATGAATTGCTCGAGAGAGAAGAGAATTTTTCTGAGAAATATTAATATTCGTACGCTGAGAAAGTATCGCGCTGATTTAACCGGATATATTGATGCTATAAAGCTAGGAAGACATCCGAACAAACAATTATTTGACAACAATTGTTGTAATATATAAATAGATAAGATTTCGATATGAATATGTCGCGGTTACGCAACAATATGATATTATATTTAATTCGATAGAAAAAGATATGTAGAAACTACGATAATTGCATGTGCAACCTTACTTGATACTTACAGGAATATAATATGAGTAAAACTTTACACGTAAGAGAGACACTAACAACACGGTTAAAGTATCGGACACTTTTAATCGGCTAATTTTAACCGAATAGTTATGACTTTGCAGAATAACAACTTTTTTTACTCATTTGGCTCTACTCGACAACTAATATGAGAGCGTTGTGCCTAGGGTTTCTGATTTCTCGACCTTTTTAATTTCTCGGGACACGAGAATTCTCGTGTATCCGTTCCCGGGAATTCCCGGGAAATCGAGAATATAAAAAATCTATCAAAAAACGATAAATTCAAAGAAAATGATAAATTAAGATACATATTAATTGTTTAAATCAATTTTATTGTCGATAATTTGACATTATGCAATTATTTTGCCTACATCTTCACATAAATATAACATAAATCAGTCTCCTGTTGCATCAGTCAGTCGATATTTTATTGTCACTTTAACAAAAATAAAATTAATTTTAATTGCACAAAGTAACATGTTACTTAATGTTATATTAACCGATACAACTGATACAACGTTATCAAACACCAACGACAATCAAATTAAAATAATCACAGCCTACAAGTCACAGGCAATATGAAAAAATAATATTGATTTTTATTAAAGTAGACATTTAGGAATATAAGCGCGTTAATGGTTTTATCAGACAATTTGTTTCTTATTTTAGTAACTATATTCCCTCTTATCAGAAAACCCTTTTATTTTCTGTCGAAATGGGTTTTACGGTTAATAATCCATTATAAATAGCTTCTAAGTTATGAGTACGTTTTCCTGTAAATTCATACAACTGAAACTCTTTCTTGATAACGTTTTTAGTTATATTTTTTGCTGCGATTCTCTATAGTTATCATTCTCTCCTGCCGCTTTAATGGCTTGTTGTAACTGCAATTCAAATGAAATGGTTGCATCATCATCAGATTCATTAATTTCAGTTTCATTTTGAACACTTTGGTCTCGAGATTCTGAAGTTAGGAATAATCTATGGTATGGTTGCTCAGTATAATTAATTAGTGTTGATTTGCTGCAATTTGAAATAAAAATATCGCTTTTCTTTAAAATGAATCAGCAGTATATGAAAAATTTAGTAAAGATACGAGATGCAAATTTCTTCATTCGTTTAACCTAATTTTAAGTGATTCTAAAAATGTTTTAGCCAAATCAAAGTTCATTGAGTTAAATTGTTTCAACAAAATATCTATTACTGCCTCTGATATTAAAGTAGTAGCATCTTTTCTGCTGAACGCTTCAACAGATAATTTTATGAGCTCTAAGATTTTGAGTAGTATTTCTAATATACTGATGTTATTTTCGTCCCATTTAGAAGACATATTAAGATGAATTAAAGCTTTTGTAATGGCATTCTTTAGTTTTAGGAATCGTTCAATCACACATAACATGGAATTCCATTTCGTTTTAACGTCAAGTAACAAATTTAGTTCTTATCCAAATTCAGCTTTTACATATTTTTGCAAAATAATATTTTCTAGTGGACTTTTCCTACAAACAATTTTACCAAAAAACGCGTTTCTTTAAGTACAATATTTATATTATCATTAGTATAGTATATGTGAGGAGTACGGCGCCTCGATACTTCGTATGACGCCCGCGTTGTCATCGTCATCGACGTTATCGCATTCGCTATCTTCACTAGAAGAACTAGTTTCTAATTTCGAATCTTCTGAACTACCCATATTGTTGCTAGTCTTAACCTTTTCAATTTTTTCGCTAAAAGTATCGAAAACTGATAAATGTATGGCGTGATTTAAGCAAAGTATTATTTCACACGTGCTTTCGCGACCAAATTTCTTCATAATGTTTGGTCCATCGCTGGTGACTGCAACAATATGATTTTTAAAATTTAATTCGAATTCCTGTAAACTAGTTTCAACATTTTTTTTCGTTTCAGTTACTCCACACTTGCCGGGGATGTACACTAATCCCAAATTATAGAATTTACCATCTATATAATGAACACAAATATTAAAATATTTACGGTTTTGGAGACTTGTCCATTCATCAATAGTTAAACTTAAACGTGCTCCGGATTCATATAAATTTTTAAAATGTGCAATCATTTCGTTTTTCTTTACTTCGTAATAATATATTAATATAATACTAACGACATCAGTTTCATTTTTAGGCAGCCTATATCCTTTCTGTATCAGAGACTCGCGTATGAATTCGCTTCTAATTATTCTGCTCTTATAGAGAGTCCATCCTTAGCTGCTAAGCGGGAAACAATTTTACTCAGAGACTTCTTTGATTGTGTTAACTGGAAGGTTTGTTGATTAACGGATAATTTTGCTTTTTTGGATTCCGGTTCAGAACTAGTAGAAGCTTCAGGTTCGTTGCATTTCACGTTAATTTTATGAATATGTTTAAGGTGTCTAACTAGACGCTCGTGTTCGGGCTTTACACGATATTTGTTTTGGACACTTTAAACATTATGCGTGTGATATATCTTTGTTTTTTTTAAGTATCTTCCAAACTTTTAAAGTGGATGATTTCATCTCCATAGTACAATTGTTCAACTGAAAAGAAAATTAGTTGCAAAACTACCGCTTTTTAAACTACAAAGACTTTATTGAAAAAAAACTAATTATTAATAATTAAATTCATAAAATATAAATATCTTACCCTGAGTCACTACTGCACGAGACAATATCATATCAATGCAGCCGCATTGTGCCTTCCCGCTACCTTCTACGAACAACAGCGTGAGACTGAAGTATGTGTGAGCGTAGCGTCAGTGGCATTTGCAATCGGCACCAAGCGTTGCCGCGTTTGTGCGCGTTCGTGCACGTGAGCGCTCGAAACTGCGCTCGGACTGCCCGACGCAGCGCGTACAAACGCGACATTGAGACCGATTGCAGGTATTACCGCGCGGCAGGCGGAGAAAAGATGCGTAGACTGGACTAGACGAGCTTCGATCAACATAAGCGTAAGCATCGTTTCTTCTTGTTTAGTATTTGATAAACAATAAGAATTAATTGATGCTTAAAACACTGAGCCCCAAAGCAAATGTAGTCACCGTTTGAGCGTTAATTATCTATTTATTACGTTTTTCCAAAAATTTTTCTCGATTTCTCGACTGATTTTTTCCCGGAATTTTTGACGAATTTCTCGGGAAATCGACATCGAGAATTTCCAGGTCAGAAACCCTAGTTGTGCCACAACTTACGAATCATAATCAACATAAATACCTTACATCATATTTTAACAGGACACTAACACTAACGTTTCATTTTTTGCTGAAGTACATCGTAAAGTACTGCGTTTTAATAGGGCTACACTTTGTTCAGTGAACCAAATAGATGTTATGCCAATTCTAATCCTACTTGTTGGAATTGCAGAACAGTACGCAGAATGGAACCCAAAACCCGGTAGATAGAATTGAGCGTATGTATTGTATTTTTAACACGATACTACTTTTAGAACGTGACAATGGATCGCACACGTGAAATCATGCAATTGTCTGCCAATTATCGCCGATCACAATTGTTTCCAACGAGGAAACTTTAATGAGACAAGTCGACATGTCCTTAACGGTAGTGACATTTTCGTTTGCTTTAACCGTCTGGAACCAGCAATTTGTCTGCTAGTTTGTTCGTGCTTGAAAGTTGCGTTCTATCCGGAATCTTCGCCAGTTCAATTTAGCATTTTCATTCATATTCGAGCAGCTCTTAAAGTATCCGCCAATATCCGCACGGTTGAGCCATTGTCAACATATTTTATATTACTGTTACGTTTGAATTCTCATTAATCATATTTTTGTTGCTTTCCCAATGAACCAACAGTGTCAGCGGCGGCGGCGGCGGTGGCGGGGACGGAGGCGGCGGGGATGGCGGCGGCGGCGGATGGGCGGCGGACGGCGGCGGCGGTGGCGGCGGGGATGGAGCTGGCGGCGGCGGGGATGGCGGGGCCGACGGCGATCACGTCAACGACGACGACGTGAACGACGTTGTTAAAGGCGCCGTCGTCGGCAATGACGGCCCGTATCTTAACCCTTTGAGGCATAATGGTAAATACTTACCACCTATTTATTCTCATATTTTCATGAAATATTTCATATTTGAGGGATTCTTATCGGGTCTTTTGCGTTTATAACTGCTTATATTATATGGGAACATATATGAAAGGTTGAAAAATGTTTTATATAGGTTGTTATTTGTTATAAATAAACAAAGTGTGAAAAATATACGTTTCTACAGAAAAAAATTATTTTCCACGAACTATGAGTGAATTTTTTGCTCAAAATCAAGATTTGATGGTTTCTTGGATCGCTGATTACGAATCTGAGGTCTAATTTCCAAAATTAATTTTTCAATATGGCGGATTTAAAATGGCGGATCATAGAATTTTTATTAAATTAGCTAAAATTGTACTCTGGTTAGTTTTTAAGGTCGCTGATTATGAATCTGAAGTCCACATTCTAAAATTCATTTTCCAAGATGGCGGATTTCAGATGGCGGATCATAAAATGTACATAAAATTAGCTAAAGTTGTACTCTGGTTAGTTTTTGAGCCCGCTGATTATGAATCTGAGGTCCGAATTCTAAAATTTATTTTCCAAGGTGGCGGGTCATAAAATTTTTTTATGATAAGCTGAAATTGTACTTTGGTTAGCTTTCAAGGTCGCTGATTACGGATCCGAGGTCCAAACTCATTGTCACCGAAATTATCGCGATTTTTCATATTTGTGGCTGCTATCTTGAATCCGCTATCTTGAATTTTGAAAATCTGATAACGGGTTCGTTATCAGCGACCCCAGAAACTCCCGTATATCAAAATTTCATGTGATTCGGATTTTCTGAAAAATACGTGCCTCAAAAAGTTAACGACGGCAAAGACGACGGCGACGACGGCGGCAGTGAGGAAGGTAATAGCGAAAGAAATGGTAGTGACAGCGGCGGCCGAGGCGGAGAGTAGTTAAACAAAGGGGATTCTAACTCACTTCTTAAAATGAATTTTCAAAATCCTGACCTTTTTAATGAAATATTTTTAAACCTGACCTTTTTAATAAAATATTTTCAAACCTGACTTTATTAATGAAATATTCTAATTAATACTCCCTTTTATTGAATACTCTCCCTCCTCCCCAGAATTTTTTGATTCTATGGCCAAGATGGCAGCCGTGACGTCACGCATATGTCCATGGAAAACATGCCGGGTGTTGCTAAACTCGAACCTGAGACCTGCGGCTACTATCGAACGTTCCAACCTCCTAAACCACTTCGTCGTTTATTGCTAGTAGTTGTCTAGTGAAGGTTCTTACGAAGGTAGTCCCAGAAGTACCTGACGTATAGATGGTGGTTGTTGTTTGAATAGAATGACTATGGTAGAAAGTACCAACCTTATAAAGCTTAACAAGGAGATGACGCCAATTAGAAAATCGTTTTTCGAACGAGTCATAGTGCGTTCGATAGCTTGTATGTAGGTGATGAAAACCCTAAAGCCGTTTGTGCCAATGCACCTTTGTTTAAAAGAATTTAAGAGACAAAGTTAGGGTCACGCAACTATGTCCCACATAAGCAGAACTTTACGTCTTTCGAGTAAGCGGCGTAACTGAGGAAACTAAAGCTCCCGCACATAGAATTTTGCACCGGCGGCGAGCGTTCGGATCCCACCGACGACTGCTTCACTTCATGGTTTTTTTTATTTTTTTCTTTAATTTTCGACATATAGTAATACGTTATTAATAATTATCTATTTATTTTTTAATTTATTTCGTTTTTATATAAAAAATAAGGACATTTCGGGATATTTGAACGCAATATGAAATAAAAAATATATAAATCGTATGAACTGATTATATATTTCTCAAGCAACGTATAAATTTTATACATGTGAAAATCAAATACAAACTTTATAAATGTCTACATATTATAAAATGTTTCGCTAAAAATAACAAGCATCGAACTATCGGTATGTGTCCTGCCGATGTTACATTCAAGATCGCTGATAAGCTCCTACCCACAACGTAAAGATCGCAGCGCCTGCGAGATTTAAAATGGGCGACTCGGTACACGTGAGCAAATTCAAAACTATCTTCGAGAAAGGTTACATTCCGAACAGGACCACCGAAGTGTTTAAGATCATCAACGTACAAGCAACCAATCCAGCGACCTATCTGCTTGAGGATTCTCGCGGAAAGCCTATTGCCGGAGGATTTTACGAATACGAACTGCATCGCGCTGTTAATCCTGACGTTTATCTCGTGGAAAAGGTGTTGCGTAAAAGCGGCAACAAGATTTTAGTGAAATGGCTGGGATTTGACAACTCACACAACTCTTGGATACACAAAGAAAATGTATTGTAACCAATTCTTTATTATAAACATTTTTTATTACAATATCCTATTATAAACAGCTTGAAATAACTCATCTTTTTTATTATAGTTAACAATATTTCTTACAAACAAATATATGTATAATTATCGTTTTTTTATTTTACAACGGCATCCTGTAATGCCCCCATGGTAAAGTGTCTGTTGAGTCTGGTACGATATACCACCTTGTCATCATACCTTGTCATCACACGGACCCAGAGCAATTTTTAGTTCGGACACGGTGTAGACTTTGTACATTTTGGATCGTATGCATGACTGACGACGTCGCTTTTCGACCTTGCCCTTCAGACACTACATATTATAATCATCGAACGTTATAGTTCGCGCTACGACGTTGGTCTTGACGCCTTTCGCCTTTTCGTGTCCTTTTTGCTGTCTACCTTCAGCGCGTACATCTTTGCTCTGAATCCGACGAATTCCGTCATAATCGCTCCGTTATTTTCATCTTTCATCAGACCCGGTACCTCCTTGTTGGCAAGCGGTATACCGTACACGTTATCAGCGGGATAATCACTCGTATCAAATTTAAAAATATTGCGTTTCATGTGCTTGAAAATATCATCGCATTGGATATGGTAGATCAAACTGTCAGTATCGGTGTACATTACTTTACATCTGTTTTGATACAGGGGAGACATGTACTCGTGATGAAATTCGTACAAGCAGGTCTTGGATATGTCAAGGATACACATACCCACATAGATCGGCTTGTCGAATTTCACCTCGAGTTTACGCAGCTCAATGGCGATTAAATTTTCCGAAAAGACATTTCTGCTGTGAAAATTTGATTTCGCGATCATGGCCTCGGCATCGTATCGTCCGTCCCATTTTGTCAACAGTTTTACGTCTACGTGATTGCGAACCCATGATTTTGACGAATATTACATTGTTCATAAATTTGTATAAATTTTTCTCGAAATCGTTTGTCGAGCGTGTTCTAAACTGCGTGTTAAGTTCGATATAATCGCGGAGCCATGGGGATTGAGCAAATTTGAATACGCGGTGTATCTTTCCAATACGAAGACCGTGACGCATGCACTGCTGCAGGTTGCGATAATGAATCACGTAACACTGCTTATATCATAAGGTTGCGAGAAGCTTGTCCTGCCTTTTTTTCGGCGGTTTGTCATGCGTTGGACAGAACGGTAGGTCAGTGTGCGCATCGTGCAGACGTTGCGGATACTCCAAGTCGACCTCCAGAATGTAACCTATGGGTGAATCTAGCGCGATTGATTATACGTCGAAATTCGATACATCATCAACCCATCGAAATTCGGCGTATGGCAACTGTTGACACATTGCCCAACCACAAGTACAAGTTACTTACATCGAAGTATATCAAGTATGATGATGTCTGCAATGGATCGTAAGACTGCATGTACTTGTTATTGGCCTTTGCGTATCTACCGGAACATTGACTGAGACCGCCATGAATACCGCGCTCGATGAACATGACCATGTCGATATCAGTGAGCAATTCGAAATTAACGCTCGTGTGCTTCAACATAGCATCCCACGTAAAACCGGGCAAAATGTAATAATACGCGGGATTTAACCTGTAACTTTTGATACAACTATTGCGGAAATTTTCAAAAATATCGGCCAGTAACAAGACATCAGTCTTCAGATACAAGTCGCTATATTCGCCCAAGGTTTGAATGGAGAACCGCCGCTAGATGTTCGCGGCGTGCGCGTAATCGCTCTCGGATACCGTGTCACCCGTCAACGAACTGTCAAATGACTCGCGCGGTGATAAACACTGATCCTGTAGCTTGTCCACGCAATCAAGGTATTCGTACGGAAAAACACCCTTTCGCGTTAATAAATCAAAATCCTTGTCGGACAAATTTGAAAATTCGGACAGAACAATTTTTAATTTGTCTTTGTCGAGAAAAGACGCCAATTTATCGAGGCTAGTACAGAGAAATTTGTACGAATCGATGAACCGCAATTGTAAACAATTTATCCATTTATTCCTACTATCCGTCATGTTTCCTACAGTCTTTGTAAACGAAATATATTTCTCTTTGGTTATCGGTAGTACAGTGATTGAACCTTCGAACATGGTTGCTATATCTTTGATGATGAAGTGTGAATCATAACCGGATAAGTTGTGAAAGGCCACAGGAATGCAATAACTATCTTGGTAATTTAAATTGCAATTGGAATATGCGGGACCTCTGTACCGTCCAGTCAGGTGGCAATGATCGCGTAAGCGTGCATCATCCTCCGCGAATGATTTCTCGCACACATGACACAGCGTAGCGTTCCGAAATATCTCCCACTGTTCTATCGACAAAATTTACATGGGGACATTTGCGGACAAAATACCCTTTACGCGATGTGCCAATTCTCCGAGTTTTTTGACGAACCACGAGATGCAATCCGGATCGCGGCGACATCGATATGCGGATAACGATTCGTCGTAGGAACATCACACGTAATACGCTATACTATAAATATGCTATGACGTTGATACGCATACGAACTCGTTTGTTCTTCCCTCGGTGTCTTCTCCAGGGTGCATTCCAAGTCGGCGTAAACTACAAACGGGACCCGCTCCTTTCTGCAGTAGTTGGTGAAGCTGAGCCATTTGTTGTCATCGTTTGGCAGGATGATGGCGCAGTCATTCATTTTTTGGTAATCGACAGTGCGGCTCTCCAGCTTCTCGCTCGAGCTGAAGTAATGCAAAAATCTGGAAAAAAACATTATTTGTTATTGGTATATGTCATTATTCATTATACATTGCGTTCTTAGTGTATACTTACCGGTCGCAAATATGTTTCTTGTGTGACTTTTTGCTCAGCTGCGAGCTGACGAGTCGGGACAAATTCTTGATCCGCGCGAAGTTGTCATCTCGCGTATCTGAGATATGCAGCAGGTTGACGTGGTTCTCTCATTTTCACATTCCATGAAACGTATGGGCACGACCACGTTTCCTTCTTTCTCTGTCGCGTCGTCATATCTCTTCTCCGCACTATGAATATTAATCGAGATATCGTTCAACCGTTCAAATTTTTTAATTTGATTTATGCGCATTGGAAATTCAATGTCCTGCATATTCAACACTGATATGTAGTATGGGTACGAAGATTGACGATCTGCGTTTTTGTCAGCTGGACATAACGCAACAATCACCGCCCACGCGAAACATGCATTGTCCATAAATTGCACATTGATTACAGCCAACTCCATTTTTATTTCACGCAGTAACTCGATGTGACATCCCACACACATCGGTTTGTACTTGTTAACGTTAACGGTCAGTTCGAGTATGCGCGAGAGTGGCTACCCGCTATCTCGTTCCTGGAATTCTTCCAAGGACGCTAAGGTGGGCTCGATAACACATCGCGAACCAATTGTCCAGATTGGATGTGGGAAAAAGTTCAAAGTTCCTCGTATTGATGCTCTTACTCCCGCGTTTATCACCCGCCACAAATTTACCGTTGAACACAGTGTTCAGTTTTACGCTATTTTGTCTCTTCGTAATAACGCTTCGCACATGCTCGAGCACAGTATTCTTCGCATCTTGGAGAAATCGACGAGGTTCGATATAGTCTGTATTTACAATCGCTCCGGTTGATACGCGACTATCGAACGCTGTATCGATTTCTCGCCAAAAAAGTTCCGAATGTCCGGCTCCTGCGTATACGAAGTGTCTGCGCAAAGTACTTTTTAAACCCTCGAGTTACGCTATACGAGCAACCATCGAGTGCGCTGAACCAACCGATAGTCGCGGGTGTTTGGCTCGGCTATGCTGTTCCAACGACTCGAGGCACTCGTCGCACTTTTGTTCCCACGCGAGATATTCGTCTCGCGGACCTAATCGACCGGACTGATCCCACAGTTTGCGTTCTACGGATGATGATTCTGCCATTTCTTTCAGCGAACGTTGTCAACACATACTATAACCGTGCATTCTGTTCGTCTTCGACTAAACTATAGAATATTCTGCTTTGAACTTTTTATAGCCCTTCCTTCATCCAAAAACATACACACACACACATCGTTATCAAAATTCGGGAAACTTCCTCGACGATCTCATCGACACACCTTTTAAACACATTTCAGGGTCTTAAACTCGTATCGCCCCGTTGTGGACCCTGTATGTCTAAGTATCAGTCTAAGCATATCTTTCTTTATCTGATACAATAATAGGCTTGTAGACCTACGATCAGCAGATTTGGTATCAGTAGTCTGGTGTCGACGGCTGACAAAATCGTTTTTCGTAAAAAATTCGATATTGTAATATGCAGCGCCATTATATTGCAGCGTTTAAAAATTGTAAATAAAAAGTATAAATATTATATATTTCTGTACTGCACATTATTTTCTCTCGTTATGCGCTATGGTTAATATTATTTCATCGATGTATGACTATTTAATTGATTGGCTACAACGTTGTGCCAGAGAATTATTATCTAGTTTCGGAAAATATATTGATAGGTGTTAGAGATAGGTATCATCAACATTACAAATGTTGATAACTCTGAAGAAAACAAAGGAGGGGATACAACATTGGCGGGGGAAACTTGCCTGTATTAAAAGGAGCTCCTGCATATTGTTTCATCAGTCGCTCTGTAAAGACAAGGTACGGCAGTAGCTTCCACATACAGTAAAACCAAAGTGTACAGTGTCGAAGTGAACGCTAAATAAGCAAATTATTACATGCCTGTTCAACATGAGGATGACCTCGCGTGGGAACAAAAGTACGACGAGTGCATCGAGGCTCCACCATGCAAGAGAAAACGTGAGAAGTGAGTATCAATGTGAATTTGGTACTTTGTGTGCACTTTCCCGGTGGAATTCTTAAATGTATACATTTATTGTATTTTTATAGCATTCCTGAGTCACGTCATGCTACTCGTATCCTGGTCGCAGATACGTTTTGACTAAACCTCACATAAGTATTTGGAGATTGGAATCAGTGTACAATCTGTGGAAATAGTCCTCGGTAATAATCGCGGTAATCAACTAATATTACATACAGAAACTTGGAGAAAACGGATGGGAAATCATGTTGTTATATAATGACTTCTGGAAACGAACAAGCCATCGTACTTTCCGCCACGGATTCGAGATTTAATAGTGGAATTGTGTAAGATAAATGATTCAAAAATTGTAAAATTAACGCTGTCTCCTAAGTGTTTGTATTTGAAACCTGCTATCACGAACATGTCATTTACTTATGAACATTGTATTAATCATATGTATATGTGGTTGTCCGAAAATACGCATCTCGTTAGTTCAAAATTTCAAACTTTTGTAAATATTCTTCGAGAGAAAAATATTACCGAAATGTGTTATGTGATAAAAGCGATACGTGAAAGCGCCGGCTTCGACTGTGAGTCACTTGTTGATTGTAAGCTGTTGGCATGCGCTTTGAAAAATATCATGTATTACGAAGTTGTGAACAAATAAGATGTTTATTCTGAGAAATAAATTATTTTGTTATATGATATATACATCTTTTTTACTTTAGACCACATCCTTTCTTCGAAAAAAATATACCAACTACTGTATAGTTTCAAACCTTAGGTTGTATAGGTCGAGCCTCTTTGACTGGAACTGTGCATGATAGATACTGGGTTGAACTAATAATGAACTTTTTAATTTTTTAATTAAATGTATTAATTAACTTTTTAAAATTAATATAACATCTCCCGGCATAATTTTTCTCTTTACATATGCATAACGTCATCGTATACACAGTGAAAACCTTCACTAGACGTCTGCTAACAATAGGCAACTGTGGTCTAGAAGGTTGGAGCGTTGGGTAATACCTACGAGGGCTCAGGTTTGAGTCAAACAACATCTCGGTATATTTTTTTCTGTGACGTCGCCTTTCGACATATGCATGACGTGCCTTTTTTCTTTATCTGATACAACAATAGGCTTGTAGACCTACGCTTTGGTATCAGCAGTCTAACGCCGATGATTGACAAAAACGTTTTTTCGTCAAAATGTGATATTGTAATACGCAGCGTCATTATATTGCAGCGTTTAAAAATTGTAATAAAAAGTATGGTAAATATTAGAAGTACACAGTCAGCTCCGATTTTAATGAGACTAGGCTCATTCGACGCGTTTTTGCGTTTTTGAGAAACAACTTTTTCCTATGGCAAAATCATCGCTCAGTTCCGCGAAGCGAGATATGAAGCGTTAAAGCAGATCATAATTCAGGTTAGGAAAACTGTTATATCGACGAACTTTGGCGACACAAACATGCCTCGTAACTAACATAAACTTCCCGAGTAATATGCAAAAAGTTTGTCCGTGCTCACTGTTCATTAAAAAGTTATTGGCCGCGTTCAGTAGAACAAAATGATCAGAGAGCGCTTAGTGATTATTGTCTGTGATTGGAGCATTCTTTTAGATTCTTCATAGACACAGAAATATTTACCAATCAGGAGCGAGATTCAGTGGAAAATCTAGTAACGTTGTCCAACTGTTGAGTCTGCTGAATGCAGCCTTTAACAAATGAAGTTAGTGATAAGAGTTTGCACCGAGCATGTATACACACACACACCGAAGGGGGCGTTCGGGAGGGCCTTCGGCCCTCTACTCGCACCCCTCCCGAGGGTTAACGGGTGAAACTCGTTTCATATGGAAAGTCACATGTGAGTTTGCGACTTATTGCCACTTTCCACATGAAGCGAGTTTCACCCGTTGACCCTCGAGGGGGGGTGCGGCTGAAGGGCCAAAAACTTTTTGCATATTATTCGGCAAGTTTATATTGGTTACGAGGCATGTTTATGTCGTGTTAAGAAATTGCTATTATTGGCGGGAATAATGCACGAATACACGCACTTCTCTAGGCGACGAATGTATTACTGAGCAACGATATCACAAATCGGTTTAGATATGTCAACATCAAGGTCACGGAACACTCGGAATTAGTTACGAGGCATATTTATGTCGCCAAAGTTCATCGATATAACAGCTTTCCTAAGCTGAATTATGATCTGCTTTAACACTTCATATCTCGCTTCGCGGAACTGAGCGACGATTTTGCCAAAGGAAAAATTTGTTTCTCGTGCAAAAACGCGTCGAATGAGCCTAATCTCATTAAAATCGGAGCTGATTGTGTACTTCTAAATATTTATCAAAAGTATAACTGACGTATGCGTGACGTCGCTGCATCCATCTTGCTAGCATAACGTCATATCCCCACCCTGAGTTCCTCTCCCTCGTGCGACGTCTTACTCCGCGCACTGGATTCCCCGCTTCCCCGTGTCCCCCTCAGCACTCCTAAGTTAGAACCGGCCTAGCTATTCTACTGCTATAAAGATGTTTTCTCAACTTTTTTCTTTTTTCTTTTACGCGCGCGCGCGTGCACGCGAACGTGCACTCTGGAAATTATGTACGAAGAAATTATTCATCACGCCGAGTACTTATTTCCTGTGTGTGCACGCACGGTATTCCCCTTTTCAAGTAGTCGCGTCTCCGGTTTAAAGACGGACTCAGCCGAACACATATTTCACGTTTGTTCAAATGCCTGCCGGTCGATGTTTTTAATGAGACCGTAGTGAGGAACGCAGTGCTAAAAATAAAATTGCGACAATGTTACGCAGTGTCTGAGCAACTTTGCCGCTTGCATCTTCACGAGAGAAGACACTGCGTTTAAGAAATTTTGCGAGATCATCGCGGTGTCAACTTGTTCATGTTTTACATCTTGATGAATATCTTCGATATCATTTATGCGCATGAGCATGATTAACGCTGGTAAACCATAAGATATTCGCGCATGAAGATTTCGCGCCGCGCTTCTTCTCTCTCTTTCACTATTGAGTCACGAAGTCCGTCTCGTTCCCTTCCATATAATTTTATTTCGCGTTTACTATGACCTTGTACTCATTATTCCAACTGCACGTTTGTTTTTCGGCAAGACATCCCAAAGCGAACGCACATACTTACACCGAGAGGGATTTCCCCGGAAAATTCAAAAAATCTGCGTCCGCTCCAGTGCGATGCGGCGTGCAGTGCGGAAAGCGGCATGGAGGTGGCTTCATCTTATACATAATTACATCAGGATCACATACGCGTCGAATCGACGACTATAAAAGCGCCGAGATAAGAGGATCTGCATGCAGTGCATCCTGGCAATACCGAACACCATAGCTGTTCGCGCTTTTAACCTAGTGTTCTTATTTTCACTCGTGACGGCCCTCTTAGGGTTGCCAACTGTCATTCCAGGTGAGTGATTAGACTGTTGGTAGCGTGAAACCAAGAAGATTCATCGATTGGTTTGAGGAAAAAAAGTCCTTTAACATTTCCTAAATAATTATGGAAAATTTTAAGTCATTAGCAAAAGAAGATTGGTAAATCGTTAGAATCATTCAAAATTCTACGTGTTTAAAAAATGGTAGAGGATTTTTCTACTTAACGTAATCCGTTCTATCCGCGCACGTGCGATTTCTTCAAACAGCTTGCACGTATGTTACCCTTCAGTAAATTAAACTGTCGCACTGAATATTTTGCGACAATTCTTATCGCTCAAACAATTCAACGCGGTTTAGTACTAAAGACAACTAGCATTTATTTACATAATATTAACATTCAGATAACTCAGAGGTCACGCGAATTTACGGTATTACCATGTGTGCATTCCATAATTTTTCGTCGATAATAATTGTTTGCGGGAATGATATATACTTGCATTTATATTTGCACGGAACTAGCATGTTATTTACATAATATTAACATTCAGATAACTCAGAGGTCACACGAATTTACGGTATTACCAGGTGTGCATTCCGTAATCTTTCGCCGTTAATAATTGTTGAGCAGAAATGTTATATACGTTGAGCAGAAATTTTTAACGTCTCGCAGAATTATCATTGCTCGACGGATCTCGATAGTAATAGCCTCGCAGTTTGCGATATTTTCATTATTTGAACAACTCCATTCGTTATAATTTTAAACATCATGCAGAAAAATCTCGAGAAAAACCAAGCAGAGATTTTGTGGTCGTTTCAACATGTAATAATGTGAGAAAGATCTAGATTTTTTTACGTGAGAAAGATAGATTTTTTAACGTGAGAAAGATAGATTTTTTTACTTTATTTACTATCAAGAAGTTTTTCTTTGAAAATAACAATGACATGTGCATTCACGCGCCGGAGTAAAACAATTGGAAATTGCAATCGGAGTACAATCTGTGCCCACCGTTGAAATAGTGCTCAGTGACAATCGCGGTAATCAACTAATATTCCATACAGAAACTCGGAGAAAACTAATGGGAAATCGTGTTGTTACACAACGACTTCTGGAAGCGAACGAGCCATCATACTTGCCGCTACGGATTCGAAATTTAATAATGGAATTGTGTAAGATAAATGATTCAAAAGTTGTAAAATTAACGCTATCTCCTAAGTGTTTGTATTTTTTTTTTATAACGGTGGGGAAATCCATCATGGATACCCCGCCCCCCCCCCCCCGCTTAGCAGGGGCCGGGGTTATGCCGGACTCCTACCAGCTACTAAATGCGCAACTAAGTTTCCGGGTTTTTTTATCAATAAAAAATGGAAAATTTCAAGGGAAATACAAAAAATGGTTTATTCGAAGTATCGTCCCTTGCTAGCTACATATTTTTGCCATCTCTCTGGCAATATATGAATACCGCGATGATAAAATGATGCGTCTTTGGACCGAAACCATTCATCCAACCAATTTTGCACTTCTTCGAAATTGGCCAAGTGTTGCCCAGCCAAGCCATGCGCCATTGACCGGAACAGGTGATAAAGCCAGGTCTAGCGAATACGGCGGGTGCAGTAGCAGATCCCATTTCAGCGTTTTGATGGTGTCCTGGACGATGGAAGTGCGATGACACGGAGCGTTGTCGTGTTGCAATATCACTCGTTCGTGTCTTGTGTCTCATTCTGGCCGTTTTTCGAGCAATGCATGGTTCAAATTGATCAGTTGTTGTCGGTAGCGATGCCCATTGACAGTTTCGCCCGGCTTCTTTTCAGCAGCTCATAGTACACGATTCCTTTCTGATCTCACCAAACGCAGAGCATTGTCTTCTCCACTTCTCCTCGCCAGTAACAATTCGCAGGAAACTCTTTCTTTCATGCCGCAAAAGTAAAATTTCGGAAGTGTCTCTTCGATTTTCCATCTGTCTCTCAGTCAACTCATGCGGCACCCATTTTCCTTCCTTTTGAATTTTTCTCAAGGCATGTAAACGTTTGGAAATACCTTGGCGAATCATGTTTAATGCCTCCGCAAGTTAATCTTCTGTTTGCGTATCATCTTCATCCAATAACGCTTGCAGATCGGCGTCCTCAATTGTTTTTGGTCTTCCGGAGCGCTCCTTGTTCTCAATGTCGAAATCGCCACTTCTGAAGCGTTTAAACCAATCTTCATAGGTAGTTTTCGATGGTACATGTTCGCCGTAAGCCTCCTCAAGCAAACGACGTGCTTCAGCTCCTTTTTTTCAAGTTA